TATTCATCTATATTGTTATTTCTTGAAAGACAGATACAAAACCAGTATTTGTCATGAAAGTCTTACTACTAATTCTACATATATATATTTTGAATATTATATATACTTCACAGTTGCAACAAAAGGTTCTATTGCTTTTAAAAAGAATAACATTAGAATCAATTGTTTTGTTATTGTTTGCCATCAAGTCGGACCGACTCAGAGCGATCCCTCTTTGGGTTTCCAAGGCAGTATCACTACAGAAGTAGATTGCCCAACCTTCCTTCCGAGGAGTGACTGGTGGGTTTGAACCGCCAGCCTTCTGGTTAGCAGGCAAGTGCCTTAGGCACTACGTTACCAATTTTACTGTTTCGTATTAAAACTAGCAGGACAGAGAAGTGGACCGTGGTGGCAGTGGGGAATGGCGAGGCAAACTGTCAATGTCAAGGCTCTAAGAGGTGCCCCCAAGCCTACAGTTCACAGCTGGCTTTAAAGGAATCCTAAGAAATTTTTGGTGCATCCTCTGATTATCAAAAAATGAACCACCATGGAACCTTCTAAAAATCTGTATAGACAGAATAAGCTACTTATGTCACTGAGACATGAATTTAAAATTGATATGAGTGAGTATAGGAGTTGAATAAAGCTAGATCTCATGATGTGGCTATTTATCAAAAGCTTTCAGTGATTTTAAGTTTTAATGTAACAATCTGACTTGTGTGTGTTAGTATGTTAATTCCACCTATAGAAACAAATTGCATTGGACAAATAATAAAATTATTCCCAAATCCTACCTCTTTTTCTGGACTGTTTAGTTAGTGGAAAATATGATGCTGTGAGTGTAATCTGTATTAAACATAGAATTAAATATCCATATGGTTATATAATGGTATATATTAAAAAGAATAAAAACTCTACCATTTTCATATGGTGTCTTCTAGATTTTAAAATTGTTCTGAAATATCCGTACAAATGAGCAAGAGCTTTACAATTTTTCTTTGTTTTTTTTTCTCATTTAACATATTGTAAAAATAACTCACCTTCTGTCTTTAGATTAGAAACTAGCACTTTACTCACAGCATCATGACCAGAATAGTCAGTAATATAAAATATTTATGTAAATCAGAATAATAGGAAGTAGTCTGATTTATATAAACAACTTTGTATTATTGAACATTTGGGTATTTCTGGAAATTTATTTTTATAAATGACACTACATGGTCTCTCACAAAACTTCTTCCACCTTATTTCATTTTTACAGTAATTGTTTAGATTTGTGGTAAATAGTATAAGTAATACAAATGTGTATGAATCTGAAAATATTTCCAAAAAGCTTTAAAAAATAATTATGTTAATGGAAACAGTTTAAATTATAATTTTAGCAATAAGTATAATAAAAAAAAAACAACTTGATTTTGAAAACAGTTTTTTTCTTAAGGCTGATTCAATTTTCTAGTCCACTTCAGCTGTATTGTCACTGTTTGAAACGATTACCAAGAACAAAATTTCACACTTTTAAAACTTTATACCTTAAAAAAAAAAAACAACTTTATACCTTGTCAGTCATGGTCATGGTAACTGTCTTATTGGACTCTTGTGAGAAAAGCAGCTTGAACAAATGTTACCATCACTATTTTATAGGCAAGAACTCTGAGGCTTAGGGGTTTATTCAAGGGCACATAACTATTCATTGATGAATCTGGGATGGCTACCTTTTTAATAGCAGCCACACAACAATTAATTTTTTAAAAAATTATGGTTTAATTTTGAGTAATTCTAGATTTACAAAGAAGTTGCACATATAGTGTAGAGAATTCTTGTATACTCTTCACCCAGTTCCCCCCAATACTAACATCTTACCTAACCATACATATATTTATTAAAAAAAAAATTGAAATAACGATTGGAATAATATTAATTAGGCTCCAGGTTTTATTATTCATAATTCCCTAATTTTTCCTTTTTTTGCTCTGAGACTCAGTTTTGGACCATTGTCTTTTAAATGACTTCAAATTATAAACCTTTTGCTTATAAATCAAGAAGATATTATATTCTCCATTGTAAATATTTTAATGCTTATTTTGGATATTCTTTTTATTTGAAAACACAGATGGCTAATTAATTTATATCTAATGAGCATTTTAGTTCTAAATGGTATTAATCTAAGAGCTCCCCATAAAGGGGAAGCAGAGAGATTGTGAATTGTGTAATTATTAATATAGATTAATGTAGAGCCAATAAGATTTTCTTATATAAAGAAACTGTTTGAAATAGAAATGGACTCACGTGTGTTTGAGAGCTACCAAGGGTTCACAAAGATCATTCAAAAGAGCAATGAATTAAAAATTAGCTGACCAGGATTGCTGATCTGATAGAGACTGGTGGAACCACTGAGACGGTGGTTCTTAACACACCCTACAAGCATGGAAGTGAATTTACTCCTGTGGCTTAATTTTCAGCCAAATGATACAGGATTATAGGGGAAAAGGTAACACCAAGGAGATACCCACTTATTAGAACAACCAACCACACAAGGTCAAAAGGGTAGAATTTGCCCAGTTATAAAACTAAGGAAACAGGAGAGGATAGAAAAGAAGGACAAAGACAAAAACAAATGGGAAACATAGGGAGAAAGTGGGAAGAGAGGCGTTTCACTGTAGGGATTATAAGAAATGTCACAAAACAAAATGTGTATGGATTGTTGAATGGAAAACCAATAAGCTTCATTAACTTTCACCCAAATCAAAATTTAAAAAATTATCATAGCTTTTTTGATCCTGTAAAATAATTTAAATTTCTAAAGTAATAGAAGGAGGAGTCAAAAAGCTTATCAGTAAAAGCACTGATAATAAAATAAAACTGTGTCACTGGTCTGGGAGTTTGATTTCCTGTTGAATATTATGATATCTCATTCTATGAAAAGACATTCTTACTATTCTCACTTTCCAGAAGTGGAGATCAAGGGTTCTGAGTAAACTTTTCAGGAGACACAACTCAATAAAAGAGTTGGATTTGAAATCTGGTCTGTATGAGTCTGGAGTTGATTTAACTCATTTCCCTTCATTGCCTCTCAGAGATTTGACCTACAGTAAACAGACTACTGTTAAATCATACATTAATATTCTTCATTTTTGAATAAGTGATTATAGCCAAGTCCAATGTTATCACTGAATTTGTTTTATATTCTTTTTTTTCCTGGGCAACAGCTTCTGTCTGGATATGGAATTAGTAATATTGGCACAATTTAAGATTGCCTAGGACCTTGGGAACATAAGGAGATGGTTGCTTTAAAGGAAGCAAACAGAAGCTATCAACCTATATTTATTTGTCTCATTCATTAATTCTAAGTGACATTCAAAAAAATCAGTTATTTGTAATGCTTACAAGAAGCCCCGCTATTTTTTAATTCATCTCTTTAGCGCAAACATACAATTACATAAACTATCTGACTGATAAATTTCTCTTATATGTATAGATGAAGACACAAGCATCCTTCAAAGCAGGGTCTACTTATGGAAAATGAAGTCAAGAGTGAAAGTAATTATCTGGCTGACACATGGAAGTGCTTTCTATGGGTAAAACAGCTGGCTTATTAAGTGAGGTTATAATAAGCAAAGTTTGCAATAATTCTTTCTCATAAACAACATTTTCACATTTTCAAAATTAATCCTCACTGTATTCCTGTGAGATGATCAGGTAAGCTATATATGAACTATTTTAAAATAAAGTTATATAGTTTTAAAACAAAGGAACTGTACTTTATCATATCAGGCCACACTATATAAATAGATGCTTAATAATTAATAAATCTTTAAGACTGGTTTATATTCAACATGTTGTTTCTATTCCTTACCTATATGATTGTTGTCAATTTGTCTATTATATGATATATATGTATATGGTGGGACCATTATCATCTGATTATAAATAATTGGTAGCTCCTCTCTGAAGTGTTTCATTTATACATGAACAATGGAATCTGCAATCTTTGAACTGAGAAATGACAGGAGACTAGACAGGTCATCTTTCATTGTGATTTTCCCTAGAAAGAAAGAAAGACATCCTCACTGCTACCTTTATTTATCCAGTGGTATGGAGTCAGAAAACCCCAGAAGCACTCTTTGCTAATTTTCAAATCATACCTTCTCAAGGCAGTTTGCTCCCAATAACATAGATTAACAAGACCTGACGTGGCCTGTATCTTAGACAATAGGCACAGAGCAATCACTGTCCTACATTATTTCTTTTAGTCATAAACATAAAGGTTTGAAGTAGGTACTGTTATATTTACCTCTCCTGTTTTCATTTAAAAATTAAAATAACAAAAACATAAACAAAAAGGCCTAACACTTAAAATGGGAGTTATGGCAGATATTTATTACTTGCAACACATAGAGGTAGACACTTTTTTTGTGGGCCTTTACTTTTGATGAAGAATGTCAACTCAGACATGTAAAGAAATATCGGGGGGAGTAGGTATGATGTGCTAGTGACTATCAAACTGGGTGTTATCTCCTCTTCTATTTGTAGGTAAACATCTCCTAATGAGAGATGCATTCCCTATGCAAGTCATCCTGGTTCCTAGGCCATTCCAATGGCTGGCATACTGATACATCCGAGTGGCTGGCATACTGATACATCCCAGTGGCTGCTGTACTGATACATCCCAGTGGCTGGTGTACTGATACATCCCAGTGGCTGATGTATTGATACATCCCAGTGGCTGGCATACTGATACATTTATACTGATACATTCTCCTCTCCCTTTCATCAGAGCTTTGACATGCTTGAGAATCCTTCTCAACAATTCTTTCAAGTACCCAGTACTAACGAATCAGAGATGGCACCTTAAAGAAAATCTATTTGTCACCCCTACTACATATGAATGTTTCTCGCATATTAGAACTCTGACTATTTTAATGTATTTAGCCTCAATTCTAACTGTGGCCTCATGACTGACTTCAACAAACTTCTAATTTTATGTTCTCAACAAGAAAAGAAACACTTGCAGTACCTTTGCTTATGGATGCACTAACTTATTGTTGACTTTGCTAATACAATAAACTGCCTGAGGCAAATATCTCATTCTCATAATTTCATATTCTCCATGGTCACTCTGGTAGAATTTATCTTTCTCTAAGAAAACATGCAAAACCAAAGCTTTGTAACTGAGTTCATCCTTTTGGGCCTTTCACAGAATCCAAATGTTCAGAAAATAATATTTATCCTATCTTTGTTTGGCTACCTTGCAACCCTTGGGGGCAATTTGCTCGTGTTTTTGACCATTGTCTACACCCCAGCACTCATGGGCTCCCCCATGTACTTCTTTCTGGCTTTCCTGTCCTTCCTGGATGCATGTTTCTCCTCTTCCATTGCCCCAAAGATGATTGTGGACTCCATCTGTGAGAGGAAAGCCATCTCCTTTGAGGGCTGTATGACCCAACTCTTTGCTGAACACTTTTTTGCTGGAGTGGAGATGATTGTCCTTACTGCCATGGCCTACGACCGCTATGTGGCTATTTGCAAGCCCTTGCAGTACCACTCTATCATGAACTGGAGGCTTTGTGGCATTCTGATGGGGATATCCTGGACAGGAGGCTTCTTGCATTCTGTGGTACAAATTCTCTTTACTTTCCACCTGCCCTTCTGTGGCCCCAATGTCATCAATCATTTCATGTGTGATTTGTACCCATTATTGGAGCTTGCTTGCACTGACACTCATGTCCTTGGCCTTTTTGTGGTTGCCAATAGTGGGCTTATCTGCATCATAAACTTTTCCCTGTTGCTTATCTCCTACTGTGTCATCTTGCACTCACTGAGATCTCATAGCTCTGAGGGTCGTCGCAAAGCTCTCTCCACCTGTGGATCTCACATTGCTGTTGTGATTATGTTATTTGTTCCATGCATATTTGAGTATGCACGGCCTCCTTCTGCTTTCTCTTTCGACAAGATGGTGACCATATTTTACACCCTTCTAACTCCCCTGCTCAATCCTTTGATCTACACTGTCAGGAATAAGGAAGTTAAAAATGCTATGAGGAAGTTGTGGGCCAGTTTTGCCATATTTTCTAATGAAAAATAAAATATTAAGAAAAAAATCCCTTCAAGAGGAAAGTAATCAAAATGGGCTTGGAGAATAACTTCATAGTTGATGGACCTTGTAAAACAGAAGTAACATAAAGCAATAAAAAACAGTCACAAAATGCTGTTTCCTGATTTACAACCTCAGACCACTCATCATCTTTGAACTAGAAGCTCAGTACCCTTATAAGCTAAGAAAGAGAATTGAATTTTATGCTTACTTAGAATATAATGATGAAAAGGAATCACTTAAGAAAGGAACCAAAATACATATTGAAATGCTTGCCATTCTTACCATGCTTTATTAAACCTTAATGGAGGAAAGATAAAATGTACTTTACAGATTAGGATTAGGCTGTTTTGAAACAATTTTAATAGAATAAAAGTTTATTTTTAAGATACTGATTCTAGTTAGGAAACACTAGTGGCACAGTAGTTAAGAACTTGGCTGTCAACTGAAAGGGCAGTGGGTGGATCCCACTAGCTCTCTGTGTGGGGCAAGATTTCATCCTTAGAAACCCCATAGGGAAGTTCTTCTCTTCCATAGGGTCTCTATGAGTTGGCATCAACTGGAAGACAGTTGAATGTGATTTCACTCAATCTGACAGAAAAACAATGAGAAGGCATGAAAGGCAGACACCAGGACATTCTAAGATGGGGTATTTCTGGAATAAAGGAGACCATAATTTCACGTGGGCCAATCACTAGCTGCTACAGATATGAATCACTTGGTGAATTTCTTGATATATAAAACCTGACTGGCCATTTTCTACCTATGGATGGATGTCTTTTGAGTCATATGACCAGCATACCAGCCATCTGCAGAAGAAGAAGGAAGGCAGAGTCCATAATGGTACCACTGATGGGTTTCTTTCATTTCAGTTCAATCAAAGAGGATCCTCTAGAAATCACATTCCAACCCACCAGCCACTCTTTGGAAGAAAGACTGGCAATCAACTTCTATAGAGATACTGCCTTGGAAACCCAAGGAGGGGTTGCTGTGAGCTGAAATTGACTCAACGGCAGTGAGGTTTTTTTTTTTTTTTTTAAATCTTAGCAAAACCAGTACCAAAGCTATAGGTGTGGGTTCAGAGGCGACTGGCAGTACAGGATATCTGATGTGCCTTTGCAGGCTACTAGGCATGCTTCGTATTTCCCACTTCGCTAACAGGTCAAGATGCAGATCTTTGTAAAGACCCTAACAGGCAAGACCATCACCCTGGAGATGGAGCCCAGTGATATCATCGAGAATGTGAAGGCTAAGATCCAGGATGAAGGAGGCATTCCCCCTGACCAGAAGAGGCTCATCTTTGCCAGCAAGCAGCCAGAAGATGGCCGCATTCTTTCTGACTACAACATCCAGAAAGAGTGGACCCTGCATCTTGTTCTTCACCTGAAGGGTGGTTGTTAATTCTTTAACCTTGCATTCACAGTGCCCAAGATGGTATTACTCTATACTATAGCCATTTGCCCCAATTTAAGTTTAGAAATTATCAGTTTCAATAATAGCTGAACCTGTTCAAAATGTTAATAAAGATTTTGTTGCATGGTAGCATAATCGGTGTTTTTATGAAATTCTGTAGTGATGTGGGTACCCTAATTGGTCAGGAAATACATTTTTTTGAACTATAAAACTGACCTGATGAAAAGAGAAGTGTTTTAAGTATAAAAATCTCAATTACTCATTTTAATTTCTTCTTTTAGGGTGTAAGGATCACTCAGGGGTGCATAATAATAAAAATGCAGAGAGATTAGCATTGTGTCCAGAAATGTTTAATATTCCAGGTTTACTAGAAAATGGTTAAATTTATGCATAAAATAAGTTGTAAGAGTACTTTGAGAGGTGGGGCAAGATGGCGGACTAGGCAGAAGGATTGCACAGACTCTCTTCAACAAAGAAAAGGGAAACCAATTAACACAGACACAGAAGATAATCTTGGA